TCGCCTGCAGATTAAATTTTCTACGTTTCTTAATGCAAACTAGAGGCATCAGAGTTGATGTCAATTGTTGGGTCATGACTGGGTCCCGAGATAATCACATTGAGTTTTTAACACTCACTTTTAAATTAGTTGGAACATTACATGAGTAAAAAATGTGAAGGTATTGAGTCTATAACTCTTCTCAGCTTTTTCATCCAATGTGAGATTCATATCCATACTTAATATACTTCATGTAAAGTGTGAATCTATTCATTTTTTTAGGGATGCTCCCCGTTAAAAGGAAGCATTTTTCATCCATATTTACTTGCACCGTTGTTATTTGCACTCAACAGACTGTCTGAACATTTTGATCAAGAAAACTTTCGATACAAGGAGCTCAGCCGAATCGGACTTTGATACTATTGTTGGGTCATGAGAGGTCTCACACTTGATATACCAACAATGGAGTTGCTTGTTCCACCCTTATGTGTGCTTTTCCACCACCGATAAAAGCTACAACTACCTCTAGTGTCCGAAGATGCATCTCCGGACACACCTTTTTTATACACTTCTCAGCGCAAACCGATGAGGTACCCTATTTTTGTCAAAAATTAAATTCAGAGATGTATCTCCGTATGTGTAAAAGGTGAGTCCGAAAATCCATCTCCGAAAACATCATTTATTAAAAAATTAGTGGGTGGTCCGAATATGCATCTCCAGATGCTTTTGTTTCATATCCTCGCGCCAAACCCTTCCCTCTTCCTCCTTATTTATTTTCTAAAAAGTCTTAAAAAAACATTTGAGCTCTCACATCCATTCATTCAAGCTCCTATCATTGGAGTTTTTTCTCCTCCTTTCCAGCATCTCATACAATCAAGTTTCTACTTCTCATCAATTTGATTTGATAAATTTTTTAAAATGCTATCTCTTTTCAAAATACTACCTCTTTTCATGTTTTAGGTACATTAGATAGTAGTGCAAATGAAATTGACAGCTTACACAAACATGCATTGACATATTTTTGGAGGGTTAGGGCAGCGATGATGTTTATGCCATGGCTGAGAATAACAAGTTTGTCTGGAGATACATCTCCAAATTTTCTCAGTGCTATTATCGGAGATGCATCTCCATATTTGACTTAGGCTAAAATTTGATTGATTTTGTGGAATTTGTGGGTTTGTCTTGACATGCTGTTTTTCTCCATGTCGATTTGTAACGTAGGTGCAATGGCTGGAAAAAAATCGGGGAGAGTTAGGCTTTGACGTGTGTGCCAAACCGCATCAGTACGACATGAGAGGGTTGCATCCCGAACCACGGGCTACGAATCGTTGATAACTCATTTGATGGTTCGCAACGTCAAGGTTCCCAACCATCTAATTTTGCTTCTCGTAGCAGCCTCTCTCAAGCATCCACTTCACGGGGACTTGAGTATGTAGATGATGCACTAGACCCTGCAACTCAGGAGGAAGTCACTACCCTTGCTCCATTAGAGAGTTAACCAAGAGGCTCATTTGACATCTCCTTACTTCATCTCTATGAAGACCATGTTACTAGGTGTCTGAAAATAAGATGTATATTATTTTTTCTTTTGCAATACATTGTTTTCAACTAATTAAATCGATATTGTTGGTGATATTTTCTTTTTACAAAAGCATACATTTTTGAAATCAGTAAATCACAAACGAAAAATATTGGAGTTGGGGCAGCCCACTACTGCTTGATTTTAGGATGTTCTCCATTATTCATATCTTGTCGGTTTATGTTCTGCTGCGTACATGACCATATCTCATGGCATGCAGGAGAATTTTGCAGAGAGATTGCATTCAGAGACTTTGTATTTCCACCTTCTTATAGGCGAAATGACAATCACATTGGATGATGTATCATGCCTCATGCATCTTTCCATTATAAAAGAATCGGTCGAGAGAAAGTCGTCAAGATGATAGTCACTCATTTGAGGGTTGACATAATTGAGGCCTCATAGGAGGCAACAATCACAAGAGGTGCTCAATGCAATATTTTTTTAAAGCTTTATAAAGAACACCTGCAGTGGACTCTAGATGTTGAAGGTTGAGCACCATCGAACTTGTGCATTGAGGTGTCACCTTTTGTTCTTGGTTGGCACGTTCATGTTTGTGGATAAAAGTGTAACCTATGTCGATGTAATAAACGTTCAGTACGTCATCAACTTGATTGCGATTCACTAGTATAATTGGGGGCCGCATGTTTGATATACTTGTACTCGAAACTATGTGAGGGTTGTCTTTAAAAGACAAAACAGATGACAGAGAGTTGCAGTTGCTTACGGTAATTTACTGTTACTTATATTTTCATAATTCATTTGTTATTGTTATTAATATTGTATCTGAATCATTTTAAAGGATGGATCATCTCTCACTTTCTTCGCATCACCGGGTGAGAAATTGTGCCTGCATACACTAAGAATTGGCCGCGTACTGCCGCATTTCTTCCGTATAGGGGGGAATAATGCACTCGAGCCATTCAGAGTACATCTTAACCATCATGTAACAAATGACATTTGCTTTTGCGCATACGAGAGTCGTTGTGAGGCGCATCCATTTACGTCATTTCTTATAATCCGGATAGTTGGCGTGTGGGTCGTGACTTATTTATCCTTATTTGTCCGAGCGAGTGATGCGGTAGTTTGACTATCTGCGGATTCTTCAAAGACTCTCTTATAAGTCTACTCCTCCCACCGTTTGTCGCACATATTTTGATGCGATACTTGACAATTTCGAGAGTCACATGGTACTAGAGAAATATTGCATGATACTAGCTTCTGTACAGTGGGTCTATGTAGACAACTACATGACATGGTTCTATAGAGTGACACATCCTATCATGACACTAGACGCTCCTGAAAGACCATCTAGATCAGCTAACCAAGAGGTACTTGAGGCTAGCGATGACCACACCAAAGACGTGTCTGTGGTGTGTCGACGTCTTGTGGAGATGGGTAGAGCAAACATAGAGGTAAGAATTTTTGTTAAAAGTAGTCCTCAGTTGGGCCTCGTGGAAATCGTGATTGCCGAGTTACAAAGTGATGTGCAATACAGGCGGAGGAGAAGGCAGGGGGTTTGACATACACAATAATTTATGTTTGAATGTATTTTTTTTTGTATTTTCGAACAAATGTTATGTATGGTATTGATTTTTTGAATTGAATGTATGATTTTTTACTTTCATTTAACTTCAATATAAACCTGTTTTTACTTTGATTTCACTTTAATATAACTTGGAATTAAAAAAAAATACAATGTTGAGACAATGGTGCTGCTTTGAAATGATTCAGGGGCGTTTTCGAATATGCATATGTTTTTGGAGATACATCTCTAAAATAATTCCTTTTTGCCATTAACACGCTTCTAATACCTTTTAAAGGACTTCAGGGAACATTTCAGAGATACTCCAGATACACCTAAATAACATACAGAGACGCATATTTGGACCATATTTTGTTTCAAATGGGGTGGATCTAAGAAAAGAGAAGTCTGATGTGATTTTGGGTGTTTCGAAAATACATCTCCGGACGCGTGAAGGACATTTTTGAATTTTCAAAGGTGTGAGATGCACACCTAAGGGTGTATTAAATATTTTTCAACCAACAATCTCTCCCTCGAGTGTGAGCTCATCCATTCTTATGGATATATTCTCCTTTAAATCCATATTTACTTACACTCAGTGGAACACGCCACCTGAACATCCTGATCAAAAAAACCTTCAATACAAAGAGCTTCGTCGAACTGAGACACTAATTCCTCTGTTGGATAATAAGAGGTCTTAGGATCACTAATTCCTCTGTTGGATAATAAGAGGTCTTAGGATCATCACATTGAGCTTTCAACATTATCTTTAAGTGAGTTTAATACTGCATATTAATCTAAAACCTTAAGATATTGAATTTATGAGTCTTCACACTTACCAACAACATAAAAATCCTTAGAAGAAATTAAATTTCAAGCTCCGGTCCTTGTTAGAGAAAATTAATTAATTTCTTAGAAGATTATTTTCAATCTCTGTGAAATCCAATGTTACAATAGTTACAAATACAAATTATACTATCAACTATTGATACAAAACTAATGTGTAATTTTGACGATCCATACGAACATAGTGATAGGGAAAGAAGGTTTAAGATTTGTGACAACATGAACCTCATATCATCTAATAGATTAACTCAACTTACAACAATCTATTTAAAATAAAGTCCAAGACATACTCATCAATTAACCCGTGCATAAAAATAATTGACCTTAATTAACAAGTTTGAACTTATTTGGTAACAGAGGATCCCACACTACTTTAGTATGTGCTGTATATTCTGTTGCTAACACCTTATTCTCTCAATATTAATCATCACATCTCTTGGATAGAATGGTAGTTTGAATTACATTGATCAAATAATAACTGCTCCCAATCTATTTCCACATGTTCAAACACTAATTTTGGTTTTATAACAACCAGACAAAAATGCAGAGATACCCACAACTTACACCAGAAGCCTCCAAATGGATGAATTTTTGACAACCATTTGGTGAGAGACAGCTACAAACTTTTTTTTTAATCAAATTTAAAACAGTGTCAACTATCATGTTTGAATTTATCATAAATGGATTGAAAAATCAAATCTGAACACTGATGATCATGAGCTTCTTACTAAAAAGAAATGAACTTCATTAGTACATCTCAGAAGTCTTGATTTTATTGGCGAGCCCAAATAAATACACAGTTTTTTTATTTATAAATGAATCAACACTCAATACTTCAAAAATACTAAAATTCAATCAACAGAGTGATATATCGGATGACACACTGGCCCTCCTAAAACAACTCAATTGGTGGATAATACAGCCTACAGTTGTAATGGACGCAAGCTATCATGTTGATTTTTACATTCCTGCTAAAAGAGATAAGCAGAGAAGACTTAATCACTAAAAGTACACAAAACATAATGTTCTCTAGTGTAACCGCATTCTCACATATTGATTATATAAGGCAAACTAAAATTTTGAGGGCCATGTTGCTTGGGCCGACATAATAATTCCAACAATAACTCCAAATAGGCCAAGTGCACTGCCAAAGATCTCAATCACAAGAATTTTCACAAAGAGGGAGGAGTTCTGAGCATCAGACAATGCACAGCTGCTTCCAATTATTCCTACACACAACCTGCAACAACAAAAAATATTTGAGTTATGGACAACAAATGGATAAGGTCTCTCTTCATTATTCGCCAGAAGAGTTATTGGGAAGATATGAGATGCAGGTAAAAAAAGTTTACACACCCACAAACAAGATTTGCGAAGCCCACAATGAGCCCAGAAGCAAAGATCGCATATCCAGCTCTAAGAGATTCTGGTTCATAGATACTTGCTTTTGGAACGCTTTCTAGTTTTGTCTGCAGGATAATAGCCACAATAACACCGTATATAGCAACAGCTTCACAGAAGATAACGCTGAAAGGCCACAAACATCAAGAACTATTTTGTTAAATCAAGTACAATAAATGGTTATATTTGGAACTATTGCTGCTGCTCCAAGATAATGTAGGTAATACATTATTACATGTAATGGAACACTAGCATTCAAGGCAGTTCAGAGATAACAATCTTTAATATAAAGATCAAAAGATATTTCAAATTTCACATTAAAATACAGGGTTTACAACCTTATTTACTATTTATTTAGATTTAGATTTAAGCTTTAAAGGTTTGGGAAATTGGGCTTTCCGTGTATGATGTGTTGATGGTTATATTAAGGGTGTTCAGGTCAAGTTTGGTTTGCATTTGAAACAGTTTATAATGAAAATCTTAGATACTGCTTTCTAATGCTTCTTGAGAGTTTGACAACCACAATTATAAGCAAATACAGGAAATGAAAACAAAAAGGTGTATAAAACAAAACAAGCCTTAAACTATTGAGGGTCACCATGTTGCTTGAGCTGACAATAATTCTGACAACTCTAATACACCAAGTCTGCTACCAACAGATTTTAATCACAAAAAAACTTCACAGCAACAAAATAAAGCTATCTTAATTTCAGAAATTCAAAATGGAAATTCTGAAATTCATATCGAGCAAAGGGTAAAATAACCTTAATTTACCATTTGACTTGCATGATTTATCTAAATTAACTTTTACAAAAATATCAATCGATTATCATAAGAAAAAAATGCAAATAAATAAATCAATAGAACAGCTGTACACTCTCTTCTTTCTTCTCACATAAAAAAGGAATCAATTAAATTTTTATGTTACTTGTCATTAAAATCTCCCAGCTTCCAATTGTTTCAACATAGCTATAATTTACAGACACATCCTCTCTCCATAAAATTATCAGTTTATCACACACAGACAAAAATTCTTGCAGCAACAACAACAACAACAATAGCCAAATCCCACTAAATGTGGTCGGCTTCATCAATCAAATGAATCACATCTTTATAGAAACTATTGACCTGGGCTGTAAGTCTTTCTTGATAGTAGTTTTCTAGTGTTTGGTATGGAAAATGTTTTACAAAAATGTTTTTGATTTGGATGTACGCAGTTAAGAATTTTCTAATTTTAGTGTCACAATCAAAAGATAATTTTATCCTTACTTAATTACTACAAGTAATAAGACATGCCCTTCCAACAAAGCAATAAAAGTAACAACTACAACTAAACCTCGAATGGTTAGCTACATCAATCAAATTCAATCAATCAAGCAAGCAAGAACTAAAATTTGGAAAAACACAATCAACAAAATGAGCCAGTGGAAAGAGAAGTTGACATGGAAGATATATACAACTTCAACTCCAATGCTACTTGGCAGTGACTGACAAACCTTTTCCTGCTCGATCAACAATGTCAATACTGAAGCTGGTCTAGAAGTTAGACTTCACCTCACATTGACTTAAAAAGGGACACAATCTGTATCCTAGACAGCCACCAGTGTAACATGCATATGAATTCTAACCACATTGAAGGGGAAAATAAGCTATAAATAAACTTCAATTCATTTTACTAACAGTTTTCTTTAGATTTTATATATGACAACAGCAAGGAGTGGATTTCAAAATGGACAAGAAACATAGTGGAAGAAACCTACTATCTTCTCTTCGTTTTTTTTTTTTTTCAAACATTACATATAAATCAATAAATGCAATTATACCCTCATAGTCATACTACCCTTAGGATCAAACCAGCCGAACATTGATTATCAACCAGAAACGAAGATTATCTTTGATTATCAGCAACAAACAGATGCCCAGCACATAGTAAAATCACTTCACCCACAAAACTAAAATGAAAGGTTTCAAAAGTTTTCTTTAAATAAAGGAAATTGTTTAATAACGCAAAACTGTTCATCACAAATGAGTCACAACAATATTATTGGCCAAATGCCAGTGTTTTCCACCAATGTCTTAATGAAAAGTCTATCCTTGATTCTTGAAAGGTGATGTGCAGTGCAGTGACTGTGACTGATTTTTATAGTTACATATATCACTCCTTAATAAACCATCAATCACCCATTAAGTCACCGACGAAGTTTTGCATAAAGAAAATGTCAAAAAACAGTTTAAATTATTTCCTCAACATTTAAGACCTAGTCATTAACTTCCTTATTTCCTTTCAACCAAGAAGAAAACACAATCCATACAGACGCATAAAAAGAGGAACGCTAAGCACGAAACAATTCCAAGCTCTACCAAAGAGTTTATCATCCTTCCCCATCACATCAACTAACAAGACATCAAAATTCCAAAACTGGATCAAATCAACAGAAACAAGATACTATAACCGTTGTAAAACTCATCAAACAACTTATCGAGTATCATATATATTATTAAAAAAATAATTACCCTAAAAAACGCCAAAAAAATTATAAAAATTTAAAATCCCTACGAATTGAAGAAAATTACCTGATGAGATTTTTGGAAGTGATTCGAGGAGCCTTAATTGCAGCACCGATCAAGCTACTACCGGTAATGTAAATTCCCCTAGAATCATTACATAAACAGATTGAAACGTAAGAATAACGTAGGAATAACGGAAAGGAAGATCGGAAACGGAAAATTGAGGAAAAAGACATTACCAAGCAGCGCCGAGAACGGAGACACCGATTGAAACAGCGATGCCGATTGCGGAAAAGGTGTAAGGAGAGATCCTAACGAGCGCCGCGGCCCAAGAGCTAGAATGCGCCGCAATGATTGCAGAGCCAGACATGGTGATGGTGTTCGTTTTGAAGCAAAACGAATTGGGATCGGATCTCAAAGCTTTGTTTTGTTGTTAACCACGTACTAGGAGAGAAAGAATTAAACGCAGTGCCGTTTTAGTTTTGTGAATTCAGAAAATCGATATTTGTTTATTTATTTTTCCGGTTAAAATAAGATGGATTTTTAGGGTTGGATATCTTCTCCTTTTTTTTCTCCTCTATTTTCTCTATTACTATAGTTTTGTTGTATATAAAATCAATTAAATATTAATTATATGTCACATGTTTTAGAAATGTGTGTTATTTACACAAAAAATTATAATAATGGAGAAAATAGAGAGACAAAGAAATAAAAATTTTTATTTATTTATTTTGGTAAAAAAATTGGATTTAGTGGGATTTACTTATTACATCTTTATTGATGCTCATCCCACATTAGTGAAAATATAAAAATGATTTTAAAATATAAAGATGTATTTTTGAACGCACTAAAAAATTATATTATGATATTTATAAGTGAGTCACTCCCCAATTTGTATGATGATGCATCTCCACAAATTTTACGAAAGTATATCTTCACACGTGTTTTGAGTGATATTATCGTGCCAAACCTTCCTCTTTTCTCCTTCCTCATATCCAACAAAACTTTCTCTAAGCCAAAGCAAAAGGTGTGCGTGAGAATCCCAAAATCCACCATTTTTCAACCTTGTTCAAACTTTCTACTATATTGTGTATAATTCAAAAGTTTTATCAATCACTTATTAATTTCATTCAATCTAAGAACTTTATTTCTCACATTTGGTAAGTTGTTTTTATTTCCCTCATTTTTTGATTTGTGACACATACATTACTAAATAGGTTGTTTAAGGTGCATTAGATTGTAGTTACATTCATAGTTAGATAGGTTTGTTGAGGCATCCATTAACATTTAAAGCATAGGGCATGAGACATTTTTGTGTTGTCTGCCATTTATATGTTTGAGTAAAATACAAAAGTATACTTTCATAGTTTGTATGAATTTGATTTACCAAAAATACGGAAGTGCACTTCTGTATTTTGCCTGCACTGTTTGATTTTGCATGTATGTCATTTGGGTTTGATTTTGTCTGCTTTGTCTAGTTTAAGTATAGGTAAAATTGTTGACAATCAAAATCGATTAAGACACAATAGAGTGTCCCAACATGTATTTATTTGTAGGGATAGATTCAGACCCTTGCGACCATCGCTTGGTGCTAGTTCATTTGACGTATAAGTGTCCATGTGAGATGTTGGATCGAACTCTAGTATGGTCGAAGTGTAGCTTCTAGTTTGACAGGAATTAAACATGAGGTCGAAGTATGTTCGCATGCTGTTGTCGGAGTAATGCGTGTTGTAGTCAAAGTTTGTTCTAACATGCATTAGTCAATATTGCTAGGGTTGTTAGTATGTTGAATTGGGTCTTGCTTGTAAGTCCAATTGTTTAAGTTAGCTTGTAATGAGTAATTGTTAAAAAAAAATCCATTAGGTTAGTGTGCTATTTTTCTTATAAATAGGATGTTAGTTTCTCAATCTTGGTATAAGGAAAAATAGGAAGATAAAATCCTAATTTCAAGATAAAGAGGTTATTTTGTTATTCTTGTATATTTGTAATCTTGTTCTAAGAGTAAGGAAAGAATAGTAGTTTATAACCAATCTTTGTTGTTCCTTGTTGTTTTACCTTAGTTTCTTTGTTAACCATAACCTTTGTGTGTTTTTTTATTATAAAGAAACCGTTTATATTTTGTTTTAAGACATCCTATTCACAACAATTGGTGCGGTGAGCATGGAGAAGATGCCTTCAACAAAGTATGAGATTGAAAAGTTCACCGGAGTGAACGACTTCGGTCTGTGGCGCTTGAAGATGAAAGCCCTATTGGTTCAGCAGAGTTGTTTGAAAGCATTGAAGGGAGAGGCATCCATGGACGTTGCATTAACAGTAAAAGAAAAGATGGGCATGATTGAGAAAACCCACAATGCAATATTGTTGAGCCTTGGTGATAAGGTTCTTCGACAAGTATCAAAGGAGACTACATCATTGGAATTATGAGTGAAACTTGAAAGCTTGTACATGACCAAATCTCTGGTGAATCGACTCTACCTGAAGAAAGCATTGTATTCATTCAAGATGAGTGAAGACAAAGTGTTGGCTAAGCAGTTGGATATGTTCAACAAGCTGATTCTTGATCTTGAAAATATTGATGTGAAGATCGATGATGAAGATCAAACACTGTTGTTGTTGTGTACTTTGCCCATAACACATGTTCACTTCAAAGAAACTCTCTTGTATGGAAGGGAGTCTCTGACCTTTGAAAAAGTTCAATCAACCTTGTATTCTAAGGACTTGAACGAACGAAAGGAGTATAAGCCTTCGACGGTGGAAGAAGCTTTGGCCGTTAAGGGAAAATTCTTGCGAAAGGATGGTAAGTTCGACAAGAAGAAAGGTAAAAGTCAACAGAAATCTTATAGTGGCAAAATATCTGGTATTCAACGTTATCACTGTAAGAATGAGGGTCACACAAGAAATGTGGGCCCTGAACGCTTGAAAGATCATGGAGGTAATGACAACGCAACCATTGTTCAAGATGACTTTGACTCATCTAATGTTCTTGTGGTTTCAAGTGGCGACTCGAGAAAAGAGTGGATTATGGATTCAGGTTGCACTTGGCACATGACTTCATATAGAGAATTGTTTGAGGAGCTATGTGATTAAGATGGTGGATTTGTGCTGCTGGGAAACAACAAATCTTGCAAAATTGCAGGTATTGGATCTGTGAGATTCAAGTTTCATGATGAGTCAATAAGATTATTGACTGAAGTCAAGTATGTATCTGACTTGAAGAGAAATTTGATTTCTCTTGGTGAATTCGACAAAAAGGGATATGTTTTTCAAGGAGAGAAAAGTATCCTAAGAGTCATGAAGGGGTCGAAGGAGAGAAATCTTTTTGCCGCGTATCTTTGTCTGTTCTATCTGATTAATTCTTGATGTTACTCTTCAGTGATTAATCTGTTTCACGATACTTTTCCATGACTGTACTTTATGTTTATTTTACACGATGCTTTGTCGTGTCTGTTATTGATTTGTACTTGTTGTTGATTACCATGATGTTTTTCCATGCGTATTCTATGCTATTTTGTCTGTCTGACCATACATGATGTTTTTCCGTGTACTGTGTCTATGACTTGTCTGCTTGCTGATTTCATGATGTTTTTTCATGTTATCTGTTGCTTTCTGTTTCTTGTTGACCTAATATAAAGGGAGAGATTGTATGTTGATTTATTGTCATTGTATATTTCCCTTGTTTGTTTATCTTTGTTGTTGTTTTGGTTCTTAGAACCCTAATAATCTGTGGTTCCACGAACTACGGACGCTCTGATTTCTCAAGCTCCTCTTGAGAATACGTAGGCACAAGACCCCGATCCTTGACGAGCAACCTTTTCTTTTTTCACACTTTTTTTCCACACATAGTCTCTGAACAACGATTGTTCTGACTTTCTATATAGGATACGTAGACATAGGATTGTGAGGCTACCTTTTTCTTTTTCCACCTTTTCTCCTTTTCTTTTCACATCCTTACCTTTAACAAACAATTTTAGCTAAAACACAAATATTTCAAGAGGTTCCTATAGAGTACTACAAATACTCAGAGTGCTAGTACATTCCCTTAGTATAACTAACCACTACGCCGGAAATGAGTTTTAGCAGCGCACCCTTTAGCAGCGCTTCTTAAAAAGCGCTGCTAAAGGGTGGGCAAAAAAAAAAGAAAAAAAATTTCCCACCTAAGACAGCGCTTTTGAAAAAGCGCTGCTAAAGGGGGGCCCTAAGAAAGCGCTTTTTAAAAAGCGCTGCTAAAGTGGGACCTAAGACAGCGCTTTTAAAAAGCGCTGCTAAAGGTGTCCCCCTTTAGCAGCGCTTATTCTATAAAGCGCTGCTATATGGAATTGCTAAGGCACCCTAAGAAAGCGCTTTTAAAAGCGCTGCTAAAGGCATTTAAAAGCGCTGCTAAAGGGGGACCTAGAGGGGGACATAAGAAAGCGCTTTTAAAAAGTGCTGCTAAAGGGGGTCATTTAGCAACGCTTTTTCTATAAAGCACTGCTATATGGCATTGCTAAGGCACCCTAAGAAAGCGCTTTTAAAAGCGCTGCTAAAGACCTTTAAAAGCGCTGCTATAGGTATTAGTATTATAATTTTTAAATACCCTCCAGAATTTTAAGAGAAACAGAACAGTCGCGTAACATTCTTTTCTTCTGTCTTTCTCCTCTGGCGAACGAACTTCCCCTATTCAAGTGCCGTCATCCGCCGTCCGACCGTCGCCCGCCGTCCGTTCACCGTCCGTTTTCCGTTCGTTTTCGAGTGCATCCGTCCGTCTGCATTGCATTTCCACCATTGTTAAGGTATGTGACAGTTTCAAAGGATTTTCTTGTTTTTTTTTTCTTTTCACCATTGTTGGTATCTGAAGACATTAAAGGTTTTGAAGGTTTTTGTTAATACTGTTATCTAAATATTGATGGTTTTTCTTTTCACTATTGTTGGTATTTGATGGTTTTTCTAAATATTTGTTTTCACCATTGTTGGTATACTATTGTTTTTGTTGTTAGTATACTATTGTTTTTGTTATCTAAATATTGATGGTATATTGTTTTTGTTGTTGCGTTCAAGTATGATATGTATATTGTTGTTTTGTATTGAAGGTTTGAGGACATGCATGCAAGTAAATTTTAGTGTTGTTGCTGTGTAGAAATGACTTATTGAAGGTTTAATGAAGGTTTTATATGTTGATATGTTATTATGATGGATTTCTCAATGTTTATATGATATATATGTTATTATGGTTTTATATGTTTAGTTAGGATTTCTCAATGTTTAGTAAGGGTGTCATTTTGGTTTAAGGATTATCTAGTAATTTTAATATGATTTATTTTGGTGGATTATCTAGTATTTTTAATATGATTTGTCTTGGTTAATTATTAATATGATTTAAATAAAATTTATATTTTGTCTGCTATAGGGGTTACCTGTGAAGAGCAAAGCTGTGATCGTTTCCAAGCATCCTATTGTGTAGCATTCTTAGAAGTTAGTGATTTCCTTACAGGTATTCTCTGTTTTGTTTAACTTTTATAGTTTAGTGTAGATTACTCAATTAGTATGGACAAAAAATGGATGTCTGGTAATCGATTGTCAAAAGAGTACGAGAATGGGGTATCGAAGTTCGTTAAGTACGAGAATGAGAAGTTTCAGATTCCTATCTTTGGATGCAAGTGGGTTGAAAATAAAAGTGGCATACAAATGGATAAATCAGGTTTTTTGAAAGTGGATCTTAATAAGGTGGGGTACAAAGATGAGCCTTTTATTCTAGCCATGCAAGCTAAACAAGTGTTCTATGTCACTGATCCGACAAGTACGAAATGGTCTATAGTTCTTTTTTCCAACAAAGTAATCGATGATAACATTGGAGAAAAGGGGATGTTTATGTTGAGAATGAATCTTATATTATAGATGATCCAGATGAGAATATTAGAGCGGACGAATCATATATTAGAAATGATCATAACGAGGGAATTTGGATCAATCCATCTGTCCGTGTTGTTAAGAGACAAGTAAACCCCATTACAACGAAAAAAAGAAAGAGATGTTAAAGGATCAACCATTCTGAACTGGGCGTCGATGTTATACATTCATACATCAGGTACTTCGATCCTTTTTAATTAAATAATTGAACATTTTAAAATTTGCTCGTTTAACTTAATATTCTAATGTTGATTATGTTTTTTTAGGTTCTTGTATGACAAGTTATTGGTCCGACGAAAGAAATAGTGTATTACATAGATTCATTGGATGGCGATACAACAAAATATGAAAATCTGAGGAACTTTGTTGATACGTAAGTGATGACATATACTGTTGTCTTTAATTATATATCTTTATTTATTATGTGACATTGTTCTAAATATGCGTTTATATTATGTTAGAGTTATACAAATATTCAGAGCACAAAGAGATGCAACGATGCCAAAAAGTAAGGCTAACAACATCAACTGGATCAGAGTGGAGGTATATTCTCGCATGTTTCTACTTGATAAAACTATTTAAACTATATATCCGGATAAATGCTCGTTTGTTTTTTCCATTTACAGTGTCCTCGGCAGCGCAATGGTATTGACTGTGGATATTTTGTATTGCGCTTTATGAGAGAAATTATTCTTTCTAGTCAACTTGAGATTCCAGTCCTGGTATGGATCAATTCATTATATAAGTAATATGATTCATTTTGATAATTATCCGATACTTCATCTGAGTAATTAGTTTTAAACTTAAATCTTATTCGATCTGTTATATTATGTAGTATTATGATGAATTCAAGTGCGCTACTTACACGAAATCAAAATTGGAAGAAATTAAACAGGAATGGTGTCAATTTATTCTTGGGTTGAGAATTGTATAGAGTTATCGGATTGGAAGACTTGTAATTATATGTGAATTGAATGTATTTGTGTTGTTGTAATTCTGAGGATCGAATTTTGTTGTAACATATTTAAACAGGTTTATGTGTATATTAAAATGTTTATGAACAAAGTCATGAGTTACAATGTATCCAAAGTTTTGAATTGTACATATAAGGCCAAAGTTTGAATTGTATATTTAAGGCCAAAGTTTGAATTTTATTTATAAGGTCAAAGTGTTGAAATAAATGCCTGAATTATAAGCAGGTTTGTGTAATATAAGTAGGTTGTTGGTAAAATACACAAAACAGGGTGAATATTTTTAAAAAAAAAAAATTTAAAATCTGGGACATTAGACAGCGCTTTTACATAAAAGCGCTGCTAAAGGTCACAAATATTACGCTACAAAAGCGCTGCTATTGGTTTGGAAGGGGGGGGGGGGTCTAAGGCAGCGCTTGTACAAAGCGCTGCTAAAGGGTGGGCTATGACAGCGCTTTCCAAAAGCGCTGCTAAAGGGGGAGTCTAAGACAGCGCTTTTTGAAAGCGCTGCTAAAGGGGGGATGGTTGGGGGAATTATGCAGCGCTTACAAAAGCGCTGCTAAAGGGCTAAAAAAGCGCTGCTAAAAGCTCCCTTCAGCAGCACCTTTAGCTAAAGGTGCTGCTGAAAGGAGCTGCTAAAGGTGCTGCTGAAGGGAGCTTTTAGCAGCGCTTTTTCATTGAAAAAAAGCGTTGCCTTTACCTTTAGCAGCGCCACTTTAGGCAGCGCTTTAAAGCGCTGCTAAAGGTCTTTTTTGGCATAGTGCCCCCATACCTTTGATCTCTCTTTTGCTTAGCTTTAGGCCTTGATTTTTGCCTAGCATCTTACTTAGGGTTTTTGTTCGATCTTTTCTTCCTTCCCATAAATAAAATAAAAGTTCGGTGGTGACATCATTATTTTGTGATTCAAGTTAATATAATAACTTGATATCCGATTCTAACAGCAACACAGTCTATTTAAGAGATGTGATGATTAATATTTCAGAGAATATTGTTGGCACTAGAATGTACACCACATACCTAAAGTAGTGCGGAATCATTTGTCACAAAATAAGTTCAAACTTACGAAGTATCAACTCCTCTTAAAAATGGTGTCCGTTTCTGTGTTGGCCATCGACACTGATATTTGTAATTATTTTTAATTTAATCAATATTTTTAAATTATTATCAGTATTGCTATATCTGTGTCATGTTTGGAGTGTCTGTGTTTTATAGGTTTAAACTAGTTAATTAATGTCAATTATTTTTAAGCACGGATTAACCGGTGAGTATGTAGTGGACTTTCTTTTAAATAGATTGTTGTGCATATATTGCTGTGAGTTGTGTTAATCTATTTGATGATGTGAGGTCCATGTTGTCACAAATCTTAAACCTTCTTTCCCTATTGTTGTGAGTTGTGTTAATCTATTTGATGATGTGAGGTCCATGTTGTCACAAATCTTAAACCTTCTTTCCCTATCACTAGGTTCTTATGTATATGTAAGTATTGAAACATTGGATTTTACAACGAAATTGGAAATAATCTTCTCCAACAAGGATCGAAGCTCCAATATCCTGGAAGAAAGAGAGGTTTCTTGAATTGCTTTGGGTCTATTGTCATCAACTTCGATGCCTCTAGTTTGCATTAAGAAAACGTAGAAAATTATCTGCAGGCGATAGTGTATTTGAATTTATTTTCAAATCATATTTTCAAAGCCTTACACAAATTGTACAGGCAATAGAGTGTATATATATGATAGGAGAGGTGTAGAATCATGTGAATTTTGAACATTTATCTTCTTTTGAAACCATTGCAATAGAATCAAATAAGAAAGACATTGTTGATGATCTTGTTACATTTAGTAAGAGAGTTTCTTTGCTTCATGGTCTTCCAGTAACAGGAAAACCATTATCAGTTGCTTCTATTGCTAAAGAATGATATAACACTTGCATTGATAGTATAACAGTTATTCATCAACAAAAACCATTCTAACACATGCAATCAAATGGAAATGGAAGATGTAATAGAAGAAAATGATAAAGGAACATCGTTGAAAGAAGGCGTGTTCGTCTGTAGGAGATCCTGGCAATCCTCTTGCCTTGCTAACTTGGGATCAAAAGTATCTCTATCAGGGAGCACAAGGCCTTGTTTTATGCGACCGAGACGCCTTGCATGAAGAACTTGTTTTGATGTAACTGGTAGCCTAATGAACTGATACTCTTCCAAAGCCGATTCAAGCTTTTCGGCTCCCCATTTTTCTATGCATTTACCTAACACCGATGCATCTAATATTGACATGTTTGTGCTTCTAAGGCAATGAGGAGTAGTAGGGTGAGCTGCATCACCTACCAATACTACATTGTCCCAAATGATTCTCTCTAAGGGATCACTATCATATATGAAATTTATGAAAGGCTCCTTTGTTTCTTTCATCACCTTTGCCAACTCAGGAATCCATACTTTTTCTGCTTCTTCGTGCATCTTTTGGATCATGTCATTTGTTACTTTTGTCGTCACCGAGGTTCCCTGAAGAATTTTGAGGATATTTACGAATTAAGAGAACTCTTATTAGGAGATTTGGATTAGAGGAAAAATCATACCTTTACTTCAGGCTCAGGCTGATTCACATACCAAATCCAATTGAGCTTTTTGTTGAGAAGTTCATACAACACACTGTGTGTACCTGAGGCCAAATCAAAGTACAAGCATTTTCCTAAATCAGGGTAGGCCTTTCTGATACCTGTGATGGTTTCTGAATTCTCAATTTCTGAAAAATCAAGAACACCCCTCCAAGCACAGTAGCCTGAATATCTGCAAAAGAAGAGATTTGTGCACTGTCGGCGTAAAACTTTTTACGTTGTCAATAAATCACAAACTTCGTACAACTTTTATGATAGATAAAGTCAAGTATTTATAGTCGTCCAACGATTATGATTGAAATATCAATTAAGTTGAACTCAACTCCATTCTGAGATACAATTTACAAACCTTAGCTTAAAATCGGGGAGATATTTTTGGCGGATTGAAGAGAGACAACCATCTGCTGCAACAAGCAAATCTCCAACAATCTCAACGATCTCTCCAGTTTGAAGAACTTTAGCCTTTATTACAACAGAAGTCCCCTTTTCATTTGCAACATGGAAGGAGAGAAGAAGATGACCCCATAAAAATAGTTGCGGTGGAAGTGCATTGTAAAGAGCACCATGAAGATCAGCCCAATGTGATGCTCTAAAGTTGAAACTTTCATCTCTTGTTAATGTCCAATTCACCTTCTTCTCACTATCAGTTACTTGGTTCTGTCAACATAAATAAAATCAGTTACAAAAACAGTTCAATTCTTTCTTTTTTTCATGAGAAATAATACAAATACTCAAAGGACTCATAGTTCATACTAGTTCAGCTACACATCAATAATAAACTATAAAGCCTGACATAGAAACAGACACCAGACACAACTCCACAGACACACGTCGATACCGGTAAGAATTTATAGAAAATGAAGAAAGTTTTGAGGTTGATAATTGACCTGATCAATAGTTAGTGGAAAAGTGGTATTGTGTAGGAAATGTTGTGGTTGTGAGATCCAAGATTGAATGATTTGTTGAGAGATAGGGCTGAGTCCAAGACCTGCACCAGTAGGACTTCCAGATGGAGGTGAAGTGGTTTTTTCAAGGACAAGAACATCCCAACCAGCTGAGATTAGGGCATGTGCGGTTGATATTCCTGCTATGCTCCCTCCCACAATCACTGCCTTTGGTTTTCTTTCTTCCCCAACCATTTTCTCTTCTATTCAAGTTAATTCCATGTAATACATATGGTTATATGCAAATTCTTATCTATCTATTTGAAAATATTGGATAACAGCTTAGTTGTCATATATTTACACGTCCATTTTAGTATATTATTAATATTAAATGTTATTATTATATAATTGCAAATTTACCATAAATATATTAAATGTAAGTTAACATTTACAATTCAATTAACTCTTCAATCTATGACCTTGTTTCTCATAACTAGATCTTGTTTACATTGCTTGCCACGGGTTCACCTGTTTAGATGTAACTGCTCTTTATGTTCTAATACTTCTCTACATGCTTTCTAAAATGCCACCAATTTTTTTATTATAACAAATTTACAAAGATTTTATTTAATTCTGAGATGGATATCCGTAATAATTCAATACATATATTAGAATCCTTCATTGAAATGTTTTTTTTGTCATAATTATTTTGGAGAATTTATCAAATTAAAATCTTTTCTTGCCAATAATGGCATTTCTCATTTAATTTCACCACCTCACACACCTGAGGTAAATGGCACAGCAGAGAGGAGACACATACATGTTGTTGAAACGGGTCGTGCTCTTTGGCATCATGATAATTTACCCTCCTAACTATGGTCATTTGCTTTCACCACTGCTGTGTATCTTATTAACAAGATGTCTAAACCACTGCTGTATTGTCTATCAGGCATAATGTTTATAAGTATACATATGAAACACAACGAGTTCAATAAGAAAAGAAAAAAATGTCAATTGATAAACTCAGGAGACACATCTCTGTTTTCTAGAAATCTAAACATTGAAAAATTTGAAAATACATCTCCAAAATTTTTCTGCAACTCACATTAGTGTCAATGGCAAATATGTAGTTCATAAAAACATAAAAAAATAATGTATTGATCAATAAAACGTGTTTCTCATTTACATAACATGTATACACTACCTATTTCATAACTTAATTCTCATTTTCTTCAAGTTTATGCAAAAACTCTAATTTTTTTTAGAAAAATAAAAAACTTACAACTAATGAATTTATTTCGGTGTCGAGAGAGCTCTTTGATGGACTTAATGTTGATGAAAGAAGTTTTGAAGTTGGTTGAATCATTTTGAGAGAATGTGAGTAGAGAGAGTTTAAGAAACTTGAGAGGTTTTGAGAGAGTGTTTTTTTAGAAGTGAGAAGGGAAAAAGGGTTGTGACATCTGAAGATGCATCTCCATAATTTTCACGGAGATGCATTTCCATAATATTTTTTTCATTCCCTTAGAGTCTGACTTAGAAATACGTAGAATTAGGATGCGTATGAGAATGCATCTCTAAAATCTAAGAGTATTATTGTATATTTATTAGGGGTGGTAGTAATTCCTACTATATAAGTATTTTTCTTCCCTTTTTCTAAGGTATCAACTTGCACCCCCTCTATTAAACCCGACACCACCACATAATAAGTATTATTACTATTATACCCTTACTATTTTTTTTTTGATTTTCTATTGCGTTAATCGGAAATTTTTGAAAAAATACAAGAATTTTCCGATAAAAATTTGAAGAAATACATGAATTTTCAAAAAAAATTTTGAAATTTTTTTTTTCACACTATCAAAAAATTTTTGATAAACTCCGACACTTTTTAAAATTTTTGACAGTGATAATTTTTTTTTTCTTATTAAATTCGAACTAATGAAATTTAAAAATTCAAAAAAACAAGGTAAATGTCAGATTTTTTGAAAAATCCCATATATTAAAAGAGAATTTCAAAAAAATTAATATAAAATTCATAAATAACTATCGAAAATTTGATATGTTACCGTAAATTTGGAATCAACAACCAAAAATTTGTTAGGGTTTTTTATTCAAAATTTTCCAAAAACATTTTGGAAATTATAAAAATATATAAAGTGTGAAGTTTAATTGTGGGGTGATAAGTTAATTTCTCGTTTTTCCACGGTCTAATAGCCCAAATATTTAAGGCCCTAAGGCCCATAGCAAGTGAAAACTCAAGATCTGTGTTTTTCATCAATTCACTTTGCCAAACTTGAGTTCTTCCTCTGCGTTTTACCTAGCAGCCACCACCGTCTCTCAAGCTCTCCGTGTCGCGCTGCTCCGCTGGTTTGTATTTTGATTTTTCATTTCTTCTTCACAATCCTTCCTCCGTCTACTGTAACTCTTCACGCTTCACTGTCTATAATTTTAGTTTATTTTAAAAAAAAATTCAATGTTGCGGGATCGAAATTCTGCGGCATCAGCTACACATGCTGTGTTGTTCCCGTCAAACGCGTTTAAGGCAGCCGCGACAGCGATGCACGCCGCACCTGGCATCACAGTAGCGATCAGCGGCTGCTACCGTAGCGCCACTATTGGCTGCGATTTTGGAGCTCAGCTATACTAACATCGATGCGATTTTGCCGGTGTTGTAAATTATATATTGATTCGTTAATATTTGTAGTTGATATTGCAAAGTTCTCATTGATTTTATATAATCATTTGTCTTTTTTTCTAGAGTAAGAAATGGGTAGCCAGAAGAAGAAGGCTCAGATGTTTGTAAAACTCGTGTCTGCTGCTGGAACTGGATTCTTCTATGTAAAGAGGAAACCAAGACAGTTTACAGAAAAGCTTGAGTTTCGTAAGTTTGATCCTCGAGTTAATCGCCATGTTCTTTTTACCGAAGCTAAAATGAAGTGATATACTGCATCTTTCATCAATGTAATGTAACCATCCTGTACTGCTTTTTGAGATAGTTATCACATTTGGTACTAATGTTTGAATAATGCCAATCTTTTTATTGTTTATGTCTATGCTATTTATTGTTTAGACTCGTTAGTTGTAGTACTATTTGGGTGTTTTTGTTTGAACTAATCTCTAAATTTTCGTTTGTATCAACAACTTTTCAAGAAATATATTGATGAAATCTTTTTGCCATGGGTTTGAATGTATAATTGTAGATACTACGAGGAGTAAATGCTATAATTCTTTAAATACTTATGTGCAATGCATCGTTTAGGGTTTAGTGAGAGTCAAGAAATCCATCATTTTAAATAAATTGTTATTGTTAGTAATTCAAGGATGCTACAATGGTACTGCGAGTTTCAAATGTGTATCGAATGTGAGTTGGTGAATTAAAACAATACGCCAAACTAGAGTTATATACTTGATTATATAATAGATGTTACTGAACTAGTTTGAGCTTACCAGCATTATTTTTTGATTTGAACTATAGTATAAATTTACATTATTGTTTACAGAAGCTAAAATGAAGTGATATACCACATCTTTCGTTGCAATGTAATGTAACAATCCTTTATTGCTTTTTTCCAACAGTTATAACATTTGATATTACAGGTTGAATAATGCCAATATTTTTAATGTCTACTGTTAATTTTTTTTTTGTTTAGACTGATTGTTAGTTTGTCGAGCTATTTGGGGTATTTGTTTGAAGTCATCCAAATTCGTTTCTAGAAACGATGGAATCTTATTCTCCAGAGTTTGATCGATTTGGCTCACATTTTAAGTTTTTTGAGATCTTGTTTTAAAATTCTTGGGAATAACTAAAACAAGTTTGGTTCTCAACGAGGGGAATACATGTTATAATTAATAATTTTTCAACATTTCAATTTCTTTTGTCAGTGTCTTGTCCAAACAATCTTTACAAAATTCCAGTTATATGCACCCAAGCAATCTAACTCATTAGTTATTGTTTATTTTCTATGCTATTAATCTCTCTGCTTTGAAAGTGCTTTGAAAGCAATAAAACGTTTCAAAATTTTTATATCAGCCAAAGAATTTATAAAAATATGCAGAAACTGCCATATAATAATTGAAGTCCGTTGGTAGTTGTGGTTGTGTTACCTCCACAGGTTCATATATTCATTTTATAAGCATTAATTTGGATACAACCTTAGGCATATTATATTACCTGGACATGTTTTTCGATTTTCATTTTGATGTAGTAATGGTAACATGTGCAACATTTCAAGTATCATCATCATATACCGTTTTCCATATCTGAAGACCCTGGTTAGATAATCAAAATGAGTTGACAAATCATGAACTCATTTTGTCAAAGGTATGTGGTAAATTGCTCATGTTTCACTGTCCTGTTTTGTTGCACTATTTTCCAAAGCACCACTCTTTTCCAAGGAAGGTATGACCGTACGAGTGTCTTTGCCATTGCCATTTCCCTTGATATAGAAATTGTGTTTTAAATGAAGAAGATATGTAAATTGTGTGACAAGTGATATTTTATATTTTACTCTTTTAGTTATAAATTTCTAGCCTTTTCTGTTTTACTCAATCTAAAACTTCTTTCATCAACAACCCCAAATAAGCCAATATTCATGGAACATGAAAATATCATTGCCTCAAGAATTGCTGTTTTTTTTCTTCCTTTTGGCACACAATTTGTTTCTCCCATGACAACAGCAAATTATATGCATCTTTTCATGTCTCACAAATATAGCATTATATGGCTATTATATTTCTTTAATATGGCTTATATATTTGTGTTAAAATCTTTTCATGTATAATATTATTGCTTATGTCACATATTCATAGCGAAAATCATCATTCTGGTACTACTGATATAATAGAATAGGTACATAGGTTGCTATATCCTCCTATTCTTTCTACATAAAAATGGCAACCTCAGTAAATATTATCTGCAAAAGGACTGTGGTGAGCACAAAGGCAATTGAACCAGGAAAGTACTTAACTTTATCAGTTTTGGATCGTTTCATGGAGAAAAACCATATTAGAATGGTATACTATTACCAAACATCAGAAGAATCGGAGCTTGGAAAATTGACCAAGAAGTTGAGAGAGTCTTTGTCAGAAATGCTTACTCATTTCCCTATAGTGACAGGAAGGTTGATAAGAGATGATATGGGACATTGGAAGATCAAATGCAATGATGCCGGTGTTAGAATGGTTGAGGCAAAAGCTAAAGGTGGCGTGGAAGAGTGGCTAAGAAATGTGGATAGAGAAAAGGAACTTAAACTTGTTTATTGGGAAGATATGCATCAAAAGCCTTACTATTGGTCCACTTTTTATGTTCAGGTTTGAATTTTTTAGGCCTTTAAACTCATTTTGCACAAAAGCGCTTTTTGTTTCCATCTATGCAAGTTAAGTTCACTTTCAGGCATTAAACATGATAATCTTAAATTCTGATATTAATTTCAGCTAACTGAATTTGAAGAAGGTGGATTAGCAATTGGCCTAAGCTGCACCCATCTCTTGGCAGATTCCATTTGTGCAACAAATTTCATGAAGGCTTGGGCTGACATTTCATTAGGCAACAAAACGATTTCACCTCCAATATTCCACCCTTTACCTTCTCAAAAACCACAAAACAAGAAGCCCAATGATAGCCCATATATGGGCTTAATATCTCACTATAAATCCTCAATTGAGAAGCCCATTTCTATCAAGGAATCAAAGTACACCACCATTTCCATGGGCTTCTCCCACCACATGGTCCAGGCTTGCATGTCTTTGGCCCAAACCAATGGTTCATCAAGCCCAAGCCCAAACTCAACACCATTTGAAGCCTTAGCCGGGTTGTTTTGGGTTGCTTTAAGCAAAATCAAAGGTATACAAAATGGTCTTGTTGACATGTCCATATGTTTGAATGTAAGAAAAATCATGGGCTTAGATCAAGGATTCTTTGGAAACTCCATGCTATACAACAAGGTGCATTTAGACAAAAATATCAATTTAGATTTATCTGAGAATAAATTTCCACAAGCTACTAAGGCCATAAGAGATGTTGTGGCTAAACTTAACAATGAGGAAATAATGGATTTAATTGAGTGGTTTGAAAATATTGATATAAATTCATCTACAATGATGAAAAGTCATGATTTGGTTTTTACTAGCTTAGAGGATGTTGACCCATATTTAGCTATATTTCAAGACATGTTGAAACCAATTCATGTCTCTTCTTACATAGAGCCAGTTTTTGGAGAAGGACATGTTTTGATTCTTCCAACACCACTTGATGAGGGTCCCTTAGGAAGGGTAGTAATGGTGACACTTGAAGAAGAAGAGGCAATTAAGCTTTGTGAAGATGAATTTATTTCACAATTCTCTCCTAATATCTTGATGAAATGTGTCAATAAATATTAATTGTGTTTTATGCATGTGTGTCAATAATGGTGAGATTATCTTAAATGAGATTGCATGATTGTATCCACCTTCATAAAAGAATGCGCACTTATATCTTCATCAACAGAATTTAAAGTGATGTTGATAATTAGTAATATATAATCTAGTAGTTTACCAATATATACCTACTAATCAGCTAACTAGGCTGGTGGTATTCTGGTCATCATAACCAACACAATTATAAAATATAAATAATTAGCATAACCTTCAAAAACAAAATCAATTCATGACCTTATAATTTGTATCAGTTAGGTGTAATTTAGCTGGGGAATATACTTTTGTCAGTTGAATTATTAAGTGTCAATATTAAATTTATTATCAATTTAAGATATATATTGAAAAAAAATGAATTAAATATAATGATCTAAATAATTAATTCTAGTGCTCATGTTTGGTTGATCTGTTGCTATTCTTTTACTTTGAGTACAAGCTTATCATTCTAATATTGATAAAAAAGAGAAGAAAAAAACATTAGCCCGGCTAGTTAAAAGTTGTCTAGCTGCATTTTTAAAATTGATATAAAAATAAGGAATTGTTTATCTCACCAAATTGGGAAAACATCTTAATAAAATATGAAAATACTTATAAGAATTTTAAAATACATTTTTTGACGAATCTTTTAACACTAAAACATGCTCTAAGTAAATTTTATCTCATTTTTTCTCCAAAATTTAATTTAGAGATGTATTTTCGAATCTATTCTATATGCGCCGTATATATTCCTAATTGAGACACTCATTTTATTTAAAAAGTAGTTTGCAAATATACATTCTAGAAGTAATTGAAAGTATACTTTTGTATTTGATGGAAAAACCTGGCTACAACTAGGGTGGCAAAATGGGACGTTTGCCCTGCCCCACACCGCCTTAAGTCCGTCAAAAAAGGGGTTGAACGGATAAGTCTGCCAAGTAAAAATGAGCTTAAAAATCTAGTCCGTCTCACCAAGATGGCGGGTTGGTAGGCGGCGGGCTTGTCCGCCTATTTTTTTAAATTTATTTTTTATTTTTAATAAATGAACAAGATTATTTTTACATTTTAATTAAATTTTTTACTTATTTTTAAGAAAATCTTTTAAACATATTTTAGTTTAAAAAATATTACATATATTCACAAATAAATGTATAAAATAGAATCATCAGCAAGTATTCCAAAATATAGTTCAAGTATTATTAACCTTCAACCAAAAAAATAATTTTAGGGCTTCATAACTACGTTGGCGAGTTGACGGGCCAACCCGTCCATTTTTTTGGCAGACTTAAGGCGGGGCGGGTTAGGCGGGTAGGCGAGCACAAAATTTCAACCCAACCCGCCATTTTTAGATAGGTGCGTGGGGTGGTCCGACGGACCATCACCCGCTTTGTCACCCCTACCTACCACCAAGTCATTATTTCAACTTCTGACGAACAACGGGCTTGTGTTATACGAACCAAGTGGTTCACCAAACTTGGTTCACGGTACCATTTAGGGGAATCTTTTTGCCACATGTCAAATTGTACCCGACAACCCACATTTTTTCATAATGATAAATTTACCATTCTCATTATTTTACCTTCCAAATTTTTATGTTATAATAACAAATTCTCTTTGTAAAAATCTGGTAGAAACATATCCGATAGTTGTTTTAAAGTATTTGGTACAAAAAATTCGGCGAAGTTGATTTTTTATACATTTTTATCAGACTTTTAAAAATTCGGTACGATGTTTTACCAATTTTTTTTTTAAATATCCGGAAATACGTTGAAGTTTTATCGGATTTTCGAAAAATACTCGGAATTTTTCTAAAAAATTGAAAATTCTGAAAAGTTTTGTCAGATTTTTTTGAAAAATTAGACCTTGATTTTTTTTTCGTATTTTTGGGAAACATCCATAATCTTTTGTAGTTTTACCAGATTTTTCGAAAAAAGTCTGAAATTTGTAAAGTTTTTTATCAGAGATTTTGAAAATCCAAAAAATGTGTTGAATATCGGATATTTTGGGAAGTCCGGTATACTAGTTTTTGATGGTTCAATTGTGTGATCCTGATTCCGATGGTTCCCAAGTGGATTTTACTCAAATTTTCACCACTGATGCGATATGCTTTACATAAATGTTTACTCTTTACATAATTGTGCAGCCCTTATTTTTGATATCCCATACATTGATAATTTATTTTGTATACGTTGTAAATGTCAGATATTCCTCTCTCAGGCTGATGTTTTGGCATGGGCACAATTTGTTTATAAACAACATGGTATTGTTATTGTTACTTTTCGTTTCGATATCGCAGATGGGATTAGAGGGAAGAATGATAAATTGATTATGGATTGTAAGAGAGGAGGAAATTGCAAGAAGAATGATTTTGTTTTAGGAAATTATACTATTAAAGTTAAATATCCATTTATGTTAAGATTTGTGCCAAGTAGAACGACTAGAAGGTTAGGATCAGGTGTGAGTTTCACAATCATATGCTAGCTAAGGAATAAATGGGAATGACATATTAGGTCGTTTAAAAGATCATGAAAGAAAGTTTGTGAACGACACGATCAAATACAATATGGCTCACAGGTACATAGTTGCTTCTTTGAAAGATAGAGATCCAAAAAACCTAATGAGCGTTACCCAGATCTACAAGGCTATGTTTACATACATTGCGAGCAATAGAGGTTCGTTGACTGAGATGCAACATATATTGAGTCTTATTCATGAATATAAATACATGTACTGGACAAGAGTCAGGGACTCTTCCAATGTTATTTTTTTGATATCTTTTGGACGCACCCTAATTCAGTGAAGTTATTGAACATGTTTCATCTTGTGTTGCTTTTTTATTGACACATACAAAAGAACTTATTATGCCAAATGCTTCTATTTTAACTTATTTGTTTCAGATGTTGTTGGGGGTTGTTGACGATTAATGTCCGTATAAAACAAACATGCATCAACTACCACTACTCGAGATTGTTGGTGTAACTTTAATGAAGTTGACATTTTCGGTTAGTTTTGCATATCTGAAACATGAAAGGGAGGAAAAATTCACGTGGGCACCTGAAAAGCTAAAAGAGTTATTCGCTTTTGAGAAGTTACTACCAAATGTTTTGGTTACTGATCATGAACTGACATTGCTGAATATTGTGGAAGTTGCGTTTCCAAACTTAACTTATTTGCTGTGTCTGTTCCATATTTCAAAAAATGTTAGTATGAAGTGTAAGAAGTATGTTGAATAAAATTGGCATGAACATGTTATGGATATGTGGAACAACATAATATATTCGAATACCGAGACTGATTTTGTGATACATCTAAAGCATTTCAAAGTTGTATGTGCTGATATTCCAAAATTTATTTAGTATGTGCATGAAACTTGGCTGACACCATATAAAGAATTTTTTTTACTGCTTGGACTAATAGAGTCACTCATATAGGGGACACAAAAATCAACATGGATATTGATGTTAATATGAATCTTGTTACATTAGTAATTATCAAATAATAACATTTTGTTCTGTTTATATTTTTTAAGGTTGAATTTTTTCATTGGAGACTAAAAATTTGGCTGTCAAGTAGCAGTGGAGATTTATGTAGAAGTTGGGATGCTGTTAACACCATGTTGAAGCTGGAATTAGGTTCAAATAAAGTGTCATTTAAGAAAAAGTGTATGCAACATTGAGCATCGATATAACACTCCATTTTACTCCAGGTTTCACAACTTTGTTTCAAGACAGTGTATACAACACATTGGAAATGAGCTAGAAAAGATAAGATTTGTTGGTTCTGACAAAACAACATGTGATTGCTTCATTAAAATGACCCATGAGTTACCTTGTGCATCTGGAATTTCAGGGTATCAAATACAAGGAGATCCTATTCCTTTAGACTCAATACGTGTATTTTGGAAAAAAATATTTATTGAAGAGCATGAGGTTACTGAAAAAGATAATGAGACATAACTCGATTTAGAAGAAGAGTGTGAAAAGCTGAAGAAGTATTTCGATACAATAGATATTATAAGCCAGAGGGAGATGGAAAAAAATGCGATAACTAACACATCCATCCACAACTTCCATGTGTCCACCAATAGTGAAGTACAAACCAAGGAAGAGAAATAAGAAGAGTAAAAAGGGTGAAGAGATTGATGTGCATCGCGATCCTTCAGAATGAAAGTATGTTGAGGGGTCGCATGGAAGTCAGAGTACGTAGAGATCAAATTCAAAACCAATTGAAAGTAAACCATGTAGCATGTCTTGAAAACTAAAATATTTATCTCAATTTCCTATTTTCTTAAGTTAGTACATTGATGACAATAATGACATGGAAGTCGATGGAAATTGTGGTTTTCAGAAATTGAAGCTTTACTTGGATGGGGAAAAAGTCTTGGCCTTTGATTCGGACGCAGTTAGATGTTGGAATTTATTAATGCCATCAACTGAATTCCTATTTGTTTTATGACACGATGCTGAAAGTTAGGAGTACATTATGGGTTGAAGGCTTTGGTGTGCAATGTCATGAAAAGTGAAGATGATTCCTAATATGGGTTACAAATTGCTTCTAGATACATTGTTATATTAGTCTCAATGTCTAGGAACCTTAATATCACATTCCTCCCATTAGTTATAGCTCCATGCATAGCTTCAAGTAGACACAAAATAATTACAATTGGTTTTGTTAATATCAATCATTGGGTGCAGGTGAAGTTGAAACCCAATTGTCATTTTCCTCCCGCCACGGACCGATGGATACAAAACTGTAGATAAGTGGCAAGAGCATGTGAATCACCATATGTGGGACATATTATGCACTGAGAATAAGTAGCTAGGAAGTTGACATGATTTGTTTTGTAATGATATGATAACACTTTTGCATTATATGTATATGTTTTATCCGCTTAACTTTGTTAAAAAAGTCAAAAAAAAATGTTCTTTTAAAAATTTCATTAGTGCCTACCAGACTTTTCAAATTTCTAGAACTTTTGGTTCATACCAGAT